AGTTCTTTTTTTTTTTTTTTTTTTTTTTTTTTTTCCGTGAGAGTACCAGAAAGAAAACGAAGTGGTACTAGGGCAACTCGGTTCGGTTCGGACCGCGGGAGGTCACCTGGGGCGGAGGGGGGGAGAGTGCCAGGTAACTTGGAACGTAGAGTTCCGACCGACTGTATAGACCAGGCCGTGTAGGCATGTGAAGGTAGGAAGTAGGTGGTACTTGTAACGTCGGTCCTTGTTTGTTTGTTGGATGGTTGTTGATTGCAAATGGAAGATGGAAATTAGGCTGAGACATAGGGCCTCGCCACACCTATCCCGGAAATGCAAAAAAGATCGGGAGCACTCCCGAATGCGGAAGATGTGAAAAAAACTTTCGAGAGGGCTCGTCGCCACACTACGCTCTCCAAGGTGGCAGTCTCCAATTCGTCAGACGAGGCCTGACATTTTTTTGGAGAGCGCAGACGACGGGCCTCGCCACACCACTCTCAAAATGTGCAAAATGAGAATGAACTTCCCGCTAGAACATGGCCAGATGCACTCGCCACATTTTTATCTTTTTTCACATTTTGAGAGTGGTGTGGCGAACCCAAACAAAACGGTGGCAACAGATGGTTGTCGGTCGAGGCGCACTCTCCAGTTTGGGGCCGAAATCGGAGGAGCCTCGGACCACCCCTCAAATCCTGTGCTTTGCAGGCGGGGCAATCCACAAAGTTCGAGAGCACTCCCGAGAACCGCATTCTGACCGCTCTCCAAATTCTTTCTGACTGCGATTTTTGGGAGTTGGTGTGGCGATGCCACTTCTCTCCAAATCGCTGTTTTGGAGATAGGTGTGGCGAGGCCGGTACATACAGAAGCTAAACCGGCCTGGTGACAAATGTGGTTTCTTCCTTTGGAATATAATAACAAGAGCATTCTTTGAAAAAAAAAAAAAACGAAGTGGTAAAACGAAGTGGTACCCAGGCTCGGCAAAACTCGGAGCGCAGTGAAATTCAGGGTCGGCAAAAACAGGCTCGGAGGTACTGGTGGTTAGCCCAAAAAAATAAAAAATAAAAACAATTCAGGAGCTGTCAGGGAAAGGGTTTGGACACCTCGTGTCGAGAAGGGCTCGTTTCCATTTCCACTTCAGGGCCTCGTCACACCACTGTCAAATCGCAAAAAGTACAAATGCATGTTCCCGCGGTGTGTGACCAGATGCGTCCGTTACTATGAATAGCAACAGACAGATGCATTTTGCCACTTCCTGAGGAAGGTGCACTCCTTTTTCGATTTCGACAGTGGTGTGGCGAGGCCCTCGGGCCTGCAACTTGGACCTTTTTTTTTTTTTTTGGAACATTTGTTTTTCAACAGTCCTCGCATGGGATGTCGAATTCTTGCCCGAATGTCGAAAAAGAGAACGCACCAACGCTTGCCCTATTTGTGCACAGGACTTGTGAGCTCTTCATTTGTACATCCTGTGTGGCGAAGAGGGGTTTTCTGTCGAAAGAGGGAATGTTGAAAATCTCCTGACATATATGTCGAATGTCGTGATGTTTCGACATTGGTGTGGCGAGGCCCTGAAGTGTGCCACAGGGTCTCGCCGCACGGCACACGAAACGAAAACGAAACGAGTGAATCTGCCCACAAGGGTCGCAAAATACACTCGTTACCATTTATAGCAAACCGATGAACCTGGCCATTTTCTGTGGGAAGATTCATTCGTTTCGTTTTTCGTTTCGTGTGCCGTGCGGCAACGCCCACATTTGGGATGGGTTCAAAGGCGATCGAATTGTGCGCGCAAGAGAGAGAGAGAGAGAGAGAGAGAGAGGAGTACATGCTCGGGGAGAGAGAGAGAGAGAGAGAGAGAGAGAGAGAGAGAGGAGTACAGGCTCGGAGGAAGAATTGGGGCCTCGGCGCCGCGCCACTCACGAACAAATGTGAAAAAGACAAAAACATTGCCGGCGCACTTTTCCACGTTCTACGGGAAGATGCATTCAAGTATTCCACATTTGGGAGAAAAAGGGGGGCGGCGATGCGCTTGTTTTTTGGCTGCGAGGTCGTGCAAGCGACTCAGTGCAGAGAGGAATATCGGGAGAGAGAGAGGGAGCGTGATGAAGAGAGAGGAGACTCTGAAGCCTGTTGGGAGGAGAGCCATTGTGGGAGGTGAGAGAGGGTGGAGTGTGCATCGCCGTTGGTAGCTTGCGTTGGCCAGAGACCAAGCTACGCGGCGATGGTTGCTCCCTCCATTTCTCTCTGACGTGGACTGCTGGCGGTGGTCCTCCGTCCTTCCACTTGTCGGGTCGTAACTTGCTGGTTTGCAATCCATATATCTTTTTAATGAACGAGTTGGTTCCCTTAACCAACGAGTTGGCCACGTCAAGAACATTTGAATGATTTGGCCACGTGTCATGTTTAGACTTGCCGGTCGGCGCTGGTGACAGTAAAAACTGGGACAGAAATCTTTGCCTCTCCTGTCCTCTCTCTCCTGTCCTCTCCTCTCCTCTCCTCTCCTCTCTCCTCTCCTCTCCTCTCACGGAGCGATTGCCGCCGCAACGCCCGTAATCACATCTCAGCCGTTGATCGCCATCGCTGTGCGGAAGCTTCCTCCTCGGGAATGCCGAAGCCTCGCGCTTCGTCAGCTCCAGTCCACTGTAGCCGAGCGGAGCCTGCGGGGTAGACTACATCAGCGTGCCCCTCTCACGTCTCTCTTTCTCTTTGTGGCTCTCTTTGTCTCTCTGTTCTCTCTCTCTCTCTCTGTGTCTCTCTCTTGGGCCCGCTGTCTCTGTCTTTCACGATTCGTGTGTTCAGGTGGGCGATCGTGTATCCGCATATCAGTCGGGGTCTCGGTGGCCGGTGAACCTGCGCAGTCCGGATCGCGCTGACCACTCAAGCTATCTACCGGTGAGCCGTGCCGTTGATCGGTAATGATGGATCATCCGGAGGAGAAGGTGATTCTCAAGCCGCGAAACGACAAACGTGATTACAGATGGATCCAGCTGCCCAATGAAATGCAGGTCCTGCTAATCAGTGACGTGGACACCGACAAGGTAAATGATTGATTCATTTATTGATTGATTGATTGATGCATTGATTGATTGATTGATTGATTGATTGATGCATTGATTGATTGATGCATTGATTGATTTGATGTGATTGATTGGCTGCTTTTGTTCTCGTTTTCGCTCTCTTCGCTTTTCATCATGTGTAATCTCCTCTCCTCTGCTTCTTCAACTTCTCCGCTTGTCCTCTTCCTCTTTCCCTGTTCTGGACCTTCTTCCCTCTCTCCTCCTCCTCCTCCTCCTCGTTCTCTTCCTGTTTGTCTTCTTCGTCCCTCCATCGCTCCTACTTATGCTTCTCCGACTTCTGCTATGCTCCCCTCTCTCCTCTCCTCTCCCGTCGCGCAGCTTATCATTATCGCCATAGCTCCTTCCTCGTCGTCCTTCTGTCACCCTTCTCCTCTCTCTCCTCTCTCTCCTCTCTTCTCTCCTCTCTCCGCTCTTTACCGCGCTCCGTGCTCTCCACCCTCCTTGTGTACTTTCTTCATCTCTTCCGCCACACTTCTTTCGTCCTTCTCCCTCCGCCTTCTCCCTTCTTCCTCCTCCCCTCCTCCTTTTCTCCCTTTCTCCTTCTCCTTTTCTCCCTTTCTCCTTCTCCTTTTCTCCCTTGCTCCTTCTCTCTTTCGTCCTCGCTCTCACCCTTCCGCTAACTTCCTGCCTCATCTATTCGTTCAGCCAGCGAGCGAGCGAGCAAAAGAAAAAGAAAAAGGGAGAGAAAAGGGTGTGTGTGTGGGAGAGAGAGAGAGAGAGAGAGAGAGAGAGAGAGAAAGAGAGGTTTATGATGTATGTTACAGCAATCGGTTGTCATTAAGTGTGATGAATATAAACACTGAGGGGGGGAGGGAGAAGGAACAGGAAAAAGGAAGAAAAGAAGTGCAGAAGATAAGATCGTTTTTGTTTTTTTGTTTGTTTTTTTGTTTTTGATCGATATCCGCTGCATTATCCGAAGAAAATGTGTTAATAAAAAAAAAAGACCAAAGAAAAGTCGGTATGGGTATGGTAACGCGATTTTGAATCAACGGCGATGATTATCTTCTTGGTTTTGAAAAAGGCAGTCCTTCCCCGCCCCCCGGTTCCTCCCCCCCCCCTTTCCCCCCCCTCCTCCTCTTCCCTAACCCCCTCCCTGCCACCTGCTCCCCTCCCCCCTCCCCCTTCTCCTGAGAAAGGTGAATTAACTGATTTCGAAACCTAATACCGAACGTAGTAGTGACCCTTGATTTCATCGACAATCTTGGGAGTAGATATAGAGAGGCCTTCACTCCACTAGAGAACATTTGAAATGTATCTGGAGCTGTAAATGGTCCCGATACAGTCGAAGTGCTGGATCGGTTGTAAATGTATCTGGGCCACGCTACAGTATAGATACAGGTAAGAATGGTTGAGTAGTGGAGCGAGACTCATCGTGCAGATTTCTTGCGTTAGATTATCTCCTCTTCCTTCCTTGACGTTTCTCCTCAGCCGCTCGTTCCTCTACAACTTTTTTTTTTTTTTTTTTTAATGTGTACTTTTTTCTGGAAAATAGCAAAGAGTTGCTGTCGTATTTCATTTTTCTTGATCTGTTTGTGCGCGTCATACTTAAGTGCGCAGGGAAAGACAAAAAAAAAAATAAAAAAAAATGCGCAGGGACTACCGGTAGGTCCCGCTTGCAAAGATTAAGAGATGTTGGCCGTAGAAGATAAGGGGCTTGCTGATGTTTCTTTGCTGATGTTTCTTTTTGAATTTTGAATACCGTTTCTGGATTAATGTGTGTCATCCTTAAATGCGCAGGGGACACGCTGATCTTGTTTCTCTGCATCGTTTTTTTTTTTTTTTTTCTTTCCCCAAAACA